GGACGCAGGCAGATAGCGCCTATTGGGTACGTGCTCTCTTCTATAATGAGCTATTTTTGGTTCAAAGGACTCGATATGCTCAATGAGTAATTTGATGATTGAACTTGTTTTTTTCGAATTCTTCCTCTTCTCTTTTCAGGTTCGGACGCTATTTTGTTCTTAACGCGGTTAAGTTTGCAATTTCTTCCATATCCTAAGGTAGCGTAGCGAGGAAAAATACTTTGCAAACCCTAACTGCTGATCCCTCATTATTTTTGAGAAAGTATTGATGTGTGTTAGAACGCCTTGAATAAGATCCGACAGTTTTACGTTTGACAGGCATTTTACTAACCATATTGCAAACAAAACTCTTCCTCTCTTGTGGAGAACCGAGTGCCCAAAACTCTTCATTAATTTCTAGCTTTTGATATTGCGGATGTACATTTGAGTTTGCAGGTACCCTATACACATGGACTCCTCACAGGGTGAGCTTCGGCAATTCTCATTCTCTTTATTTCCTTACGTTCTTGACGGGAAAAGTCAAATTTCCGCTTTTTTCTTGGGCAGCCTTTGGTGAACGAGCTCGAATATTGAAGTTCATTGCGTACATTTGAATTATTAGGGATGGTCAGCAGATTATCTCCTGTGGAAGCATCTTGAACTATAAGTCTTCTATTTCTCCAGGAATATATACGATGTCATCTATAGGTAGGTCTAATATATCTACAATTGACGAAACAGGTAACAAGGAACCATCTTCATTGTTTACTTCATATAAGAATTTGTGAACGTGTTTCATCTTCTTTGAAATATTATGCTGGTCGAGAAACATAGTACCTGTTAATATAAATATCGTGTTAAAATCTTCTTGACTCGAAGTGCCTCTTTTTCAACTAATTCTTCGGTGTTTGAAGTTGGTTCTTCTTCATTGTTTACATCTCCGTTGAGAAGAAGAAGGGCATTCGAATCTTGCGTGCCAATTCTAATATCACCCAGTAACCATTCGTAAATCTTTTTATGGCGAGGGTCTTGGCGTGGATTAAACTCGTACTAATATTCGACTCTTTGCTAACATCAATAAATGTTTCCAAAGCATTACAGCTTTGCATATTGTGCAGCTGTACATATGGCATCGTTAGTTATATACAAAATATCCTTATAGGTACTACTAATAACATTATTTACACTATTGGATTCTAAATCTGCTATAAACATTTTAAAATACGACGGTACACTAGAACCAGTAGCAGTGTTAGTAAACGATCCCAGTTTACATGCGCATAATATTTCATCAAATTGTCCAGTTCAATCTTTTGCACTAATAACTTAATAATTTCCTTGCACATATTTTTAGATTTAGCGCACCAATTGAAGCAATCATCCCAGGGACGTAACAACTTAGGAGCGGGCCCTGGTGCAACACCAAACATACGGGCCCCACTGCATCATTAAAAAAAATCACTAGCATAATAGTTTATTGAACAATGCACAAAAACGTATGGCTGAACAATGGTAACCAACATGATAACATAAATTCAATTCAATATAAGACAACTTAATTACAAGTACTAAAAAAAGTCAACTTTTCTTGCCTTTTGATGAGCAAACAGAGAAATTACATTATGTAAATCTAATGTTCTGGCTGTTTCATTTTCAATTGATAATATTGCCACAGCTGAAAGTCTTCTTTGTGACATTTTACTTCGTAAATAATTTTTAATCAATTTTAGGATGGAAAATGATCTTTCCGAAGATGATACCGATATGGGAATTGTCAGGTAGAGTATAAAAGCACAACACACTTCCTTAAATGAACTTGATATCATTGGATCGCAAATAACCAATTTTGCCAAGTCATGAATTGAAATATTTGCGTTTATTTGTTCTTTATAAACGTGTCTGAATGACAAAAGTTCTTGTGCAAATGAGCTCGATAAATCATTGGGATAAAAGTTAATTAAATTTTCAGTTAGCTGTATTAAATCTGAGTCTGAGTGATCTTTTAAAACTGAAGGGAAAAGCACCTTAAATCTTTC